AAAAAAAAAAAAAAAAAAAAAAAAAAAAAAAAAAAGCGCAAATACATTTTCATGATGCATTCTAGAATCTTGAAAAGGGAAAACCTGAACAAATCAGATGGTGTTTCCGTCTGAAATTTCTGTTTGTGAGGTTCGAGATGGATTGTTCCTCTCCTTACTCCCCCTGCACACACGGTGCCGCACAGGAGAGTGCCCGAGTTTAAACAAAACCCTAATGGCTGCAAAACGGAAAACCGACAGGAGCTTTCCTCCAGCCCCGATGCTCTCTGAAATTTTACTAACTAGTTCTGCCCAACCTAAATATTGAGTCCAGCTCGACCTTTCTCATGATCTCCCTCCTGCTGATACATTTTTTTTTTTTAATTTTCTTTTTCTTTTGGTTAGTCAGCGGCTCGGAGAGCAGGGACTTGTTGTGCCAACTGTCAGACAACCACCACGACCTTATGGCGACGTAATGCAAACGGGGACCCAGTTTGCAATGCCTGCGGACTCTACTATAAATTGCACAATGTGAGTATTTACTCATCTCATGTGTCGCTGCTTGCCTGGCCGGGATTGATGTCTTAACTGCATGGTGTACACTAGGCTTCTATTGGTTTCAGGGGTTTGGTTGTTGTTTTATTCCTTCCCCCGTCTCTAAGGTTCCCCTGGGAAGTGACAGCCATTCTTTGTCAGCATAGTGATGCTAAGTTCAGTGACATTACAATGTATTAGCTTGGCTTCTAACGCTTGGGCAAATCAGGCAAAACAGAGCTACCACACTTGGTTTTAACTGAGCGTGTTTTGTGTGCCGTTTCCCTCCAGAAACGCAGAGGCCGTTTGGAATGGGCTCTGTGCAAAAATTAATCCTGATGGGGCACCTCCTTTTTTATTTTTTAAAATGTTTTTAAGATATATATTTTTATATATTTGGATATGTTTTTAAATTATATCTGAGGCTTTGTTTTATCCTATTTAAAAAAAAAATTATAATCCTAAGCAGGAATAATTTGACAACATTTGGAACATCTTTTTTAAACTCTTAAGTAACAGAGGTTACCGGTACAAGATTGCTCATGTTTTAGGACTGAATTTGGGTCAACTTGTGCCTCCTAGTTTGATCTCTTTTATTAGGAAATGAATGAGGACGGAGGGTAAGCCTACGGGAAAGAGTCATCAGCTGCCAAATTCGGTTCAATTTGTTTTTCATGTCTAGGGGTTTTTTTGTGTGTGTGGTTTTATTAAACAAATCAATATAAACAAGTTCTGCAGAGAGAAACACCATTTTTTTTGGCCAGAAAAAGGTCTCCATCCAGGAAAAACACATGGGGGCTGTCCAAATATTTTCATTTTTGCACAATAAGGTCATTTTGTCTGCATGAGCCTGATTTTCTCATTTCTTGCAGGTGAACAGGCCTCTGACCATGAAAAAGGAAGGAATTCAGACCAGGAATAGGAAAATGTCCAACAAATCAAAGAAAAGCAAGAAAGGCTCCGAGTGTTTTGAGGAACTGTCCAAGTGCATGCAGGAGAAGTCGTCTCCCTTCAGCGCTGCTGCCCTTGCTAGCCACATGGCACCCATGGGGCATTTGCCACCTTTCAGCCACTCTGGACACATCCTACCAACACCTACCCCCATCCACCCATCTTCCAGCATCTCATTTGGACACCCACACCCATCCAGCATGGTTACAGCCATGGGATAGAACCCGATGACCAAGAGACCCACCCAGAGATCAAGAACATGGGGCTTTGCCTAGGACGACACCAAGTAAGAAAGCGTTCTGCCAAGAGGAGAATGTAGGGATGGCAAAGGGGGAGCTTTGCTCCCGTGTGACTTAACTCTTAACGCTGGACTGAAACCTTGCAAACGATGGGTCTTCTGCAGAAACGTAGTGGTGCCTGTAATGCACTTTGCCCCCTCAGGTATAAGGAAAAAGAACTCACCTGTTCGATACTTAATGGTCCAGCAGGAAGCAAAAGGTGGCAGAAGCTGAAGGAAAAGGCTTGGAACTGGCTTTCCTTTCTCTCTTTGTTATTACTGTGAATATTGTAAAGAGATATAAGCAGCCTCCCAGGATGGAATCGGCTCACCGGAAGCCAGACATGCTGGATTTCTATCGCGGACTTTGTTTGGGATGAGGAAAAAAGAAAAAGGGGAAAAAAAAGAAAAAAAAAAAAGGAAAAAGAGAAAAGGACATCTTTATAAAAACGTAATTTTTAAAATTAAATCAGACACAAAATCGTATTTATTTTGCTCTTGTTTTCAACAAAAAGCCTCAACCCCTCTGCATGTTTTTGTGCTGTTGTTTGCAATGGCTACCCTGTGAGAAAACCTGCCTCCAAAACGAGGGGTGAGGGGGGGACGTATTCAGCAGCCCCTTGGATTACCACCATCTATCTTCGCTACCAAAATATCTACTAGGGCAGGGGAAAAGACCAGGGGGTGAGGGGAACAAAGCAAAAATGTAGCTGTAATACAGGATTTTAATGTGCCCAAGGTGGTGGTTATTTTGACACAATTTCTTAATTCTTTTCTCTAACATGAAAGATTTATTTAAAAAAAACCCCACCCCCTCTCCCAACTCCCCTATTATTCCTCAGAACAGAGAGCTAGATCAGACAAACTGCTGGGGGAAAAATCTCCCCGGCAGGTAATCCTGCACTAGCCAGGGGTGAGGGCATTTCCCAGACTGTGTCTGTGAACTTCTAGCAGAGTAGAAAGCATCACAGGGCATAAAAACATCCAACTTGCAGACTTCAGAGGTTGAAGCATTTTGTTCTGTTGTGTTGGCAGCTGTCGCTTAAAAATGCAGATTAGCTGCCTGGGTAAATTCGGGCAGTGCCCGGCCCGGGCTGTCCCAGGTGTCCAGGCCCCGGCGGACTCCGGGGAGCAAGGGCAGAAATGAGGCTGAGAGCACCGGAGAGGGGAAGGAGAGAGAGAGACAATCAGTTTGAGCTTCACACATCCCTCAGATCCCAGCCACGGTGACGGCTGAGGCGAGGGAAGGCATCGTTCTAAGGGGAACGTCCCTTTTCCGTAGCGCATTTTATATGAAAAATTAAAAAAAAAACAAAAACAAAAAAAAGCAAAAAAAGAAAATTTAACTCTCCCATTATTAAACCACATTGTACGTAAATGACCGAAAGCAAAGCTCTTTCCAACGTGAAGTGTATTCTATTGATTGTTATGATCTGATGCCTCTCGTGAACACAAGCTCCAGTATAACATACAATGTACATATTTAGCTATACTTCTGATGAAAATGCCCCAATGAACAGAGGGGTTTGATAATGTAAACCACGTAAGCTTAACTCTGTGAAAGCTTTTTATTTTTTTTTTTTTAATTTTTAACTTTTTTGTTGTTGGGGTTTTTCTTTTTTGGATCAAGCCAATTGTATCTACTGCAAAAGTCCTGCTTTAAAGAAAAAAAGAACGAACATAAAAATGGATGTAAGTTAATTTTTTTTTTTTCTAAACATGTAATTGAAATATTTGATAATGAATCGAGAACCAAGCAGCCATGAAAATCCTGCTTTCCTTCTTTTTTCTGGTCTGCGTAGGCATATAGGTGCACTTTGTAAAGAAGTGGAAATAAACGGGAAACTAAATTGGTTGGGAGAAATCATAAGAATTTTTAATCTACTGAGGTAAAAAATTGGGTCCTTTTTACTTTTTACCTTTTCCAATGGTACAGTTGTACATTATTTGTACCCGACTCAAATTTCTGTAGGATTTGGGCAGGGGGGCGGGGAAGGGACGTGGGTGGAAGACAGGGATTACTGATACAGTTGACAAAGTGCAATATATTGTCAGTCACTGCAGCATAGACAACAGCAGTCGAGATTTAAATTATTTTGTACTTGTATCAGCATAAAAAAAAATTCTTCAGTATTTTCTGTTTTTATTTTAATTTTTATTTTGCTTATTTTTGGATTAGTGAACTAAGTTATTGTTAATTATGTACAACATGTTTATATATTGTCTGTAAAAAGTGTATGCTTTCCTCATATTCCTTCAAGGTGAATATTGCTAAGAATAATAAAATACCTTTTTTGTGAAAGTACCTGTGCCCAGCTCCATGTCATCACAAAGGCTGCTTTTAACAGGGAGAGAGGAAAAACTGTCGTTGGCATTGTTGCCAACAGAATTATTAGCTTAAAACTTTTAATGCGGAGTGGTCTGTAGATATTTCAAAAACCTACCGGGCTACAAAAAAAGGTAGTTGGGGAATGATTTAGTATAAAAAGCACAGGTACAAAAGCTCATTCTCTAGTGCTGCTTTGGGGTGACAAGGTCACGCAGTTGAGTGTGCTGAAGTTTCTAAACCAGTTTAAAATCTAAGGCAGCAGTCACGCTGCAGACGATGAACAGTGGGTTTTTGGGGGGATTTTTTTTGGGTGTTCTGTTTTTTTTCTTTTGGGGGGGGTGCGGTTTTTGGAAAAGTGTTTGGAGAAATATTCTACAAGTTTTAAAAGCACTGTAAACACAGAAAAACAGCTAGGCAGCTGCCTTGCCAGGTTTCAAGACAGGGCCTGTGTGAGACCGGGCAAAGTTCTCAGCAGGTTCTTGCGCTGCTGCAAGAGGCGACACCATCAACCCAGAAACCTGCTTCTTACCGTTCGGCGTCGTGGGTCGCGGGAAGGGCGCAAGGGGGTGGGCAGCCCGGGGCCGTCCTGGGAACAGGGGGCGCCGGGGTGGGCGCAGGGGTGTGCACGCAGGCTGGCACGCGCGGACGGAGCCGAGCGCTCACCAGGCCACTCTCCCATGGCCAAAACGTGGCGGCAGCTTTCATCACACGGTCCAGCCGGACCCACACCAGGGGCTCCTCGGGGCCTGGTGGAGCGAAGCGACGTCTCGCAAAGTGCCCTCGCTCTGTGCAGGGATGAGTACTGCTGCTTTTAAAACAATATATGCAAGAAAACTGCCCATGAACTTTGGGTTTCCTCCTTTGACCCCCCCCCCGGAGTTGCATCTCGCTTCTGTGGAAACCAACTTGGGTATAACTCCTTACTCATTAAGAAAAAAAATAACCTGAGTTCCTTTTTCAGCGCGTGTGTGCAAATTCCAGCCCTTTCTATCACTGCTTCTCTTTGGCCGTGCAGCCGCCTCCCCAGCCCGCTCGCACGGGAAGGAGCTGCAGCAGCTCTGGATGTGCCGGGGAAAGCAGACGCCGCCGGGATGGGGCCTTCCCGCATCATTTCAGAGGAGTTAATCATCTCTCTAACTTGTTCCGCGAGGCTTAGTGCAAACACCCGTTAAAAAAAAAAAAAAAAAAAAGGAAAAAAAAAAAAAAGGCGGTTTATAGCATACCGTGCAAGCTCCATTTAAAAAGAAACGTGTTCATTTTCAGACAGGTTTAAAATGGGGTTATAACAAAACTGGGCCACTCCGCCTCCTTGTTTGAGTAGCTGAGGCGAGGAGAGAACAGGAAAACTCACAACATCTCTTTCAAATAATTGAGAATAACCCAGCTGTTCGCTTGGGTTGCACGTTACAGGCGCGTTCAGGCTTTGATGAGGCCTCACCTCGGTGTCACCCCTCGGCGGGCATTTTGCTGGGTCGGTCCAATCCGTTGGCAGAACCCGGGCCGTGATCCCTCAGCGCGTTGGGAGGGTGCAGCAGCGCCCCGGCGCCCCGAGGAGCTGGGTCTTCAGCGGTTCCTGCAAGGCAGATCACAAGTAATCCCGTGTCAGTCAGGTGGCACTAATCTGTGACAGATCAAACCATCTCTTCGCCACGCGTGTATCGTGTCTGTCTCCGGACATTTTGCATAGCAGCAGGAAAACAAACAGCAGGGAATGGAAATGGAGCAAGTGTGTAAAGTGCAACGTAAAGTGTAAGCACCGAGCAGATACCGAGGCAACAAATTGGGATTTACAGTCCTTTCACTACCACCAAAGGCTGGGGGAGAGGCTTTTTGTGAGGGGGGAACCCTGACATTACTTGCCTTTGGTTCCCGTTGTTGGGATTATTGTTTTAAGCCGTGCTTAATTGTCATGTCTCCACGGCCACATCAAAAGCCAAGAAGATTAGGTTACAGGGAGTGTTTGATGTCAAAATACAAAATAAATAAAAGGAAAGCTGAAAAGGTACCACATTTTCCATGATGTCTAGTGAGGTTTCAGCCTTAAATACTTTTTTTTTTTTTTTCAGTTTTGCAAATGTTGCACTTTTAGTGACAAGATTTCATTTACTTGCTTCCAAATGACTGTACTACTTTCCTGCAGCAGTTTGAAAGGGTTAATATCCCCTCTTTGATGGCAAACATGGTATAATTAACGCAAACTTCTTAAGTATCCTGGTGACCTGTAGATGGCCACATGAGAATTTTGTTATTTACTGACTTGCCAAACGTTTATTGCTTATAGCAGGACAAGTGGGAAGCAGGCATTAATTCTGATGCTGTTATCTGTGATTGCATGTAAAGTTCATAGCAGAGAGAGCCTGTAAGTCAACTGCAATTAAACATTTTGCTATTTTTTTAAAACGAGTTTCACGTTGGTGGAGGGGGTTGGACTGGCAGCTTTGCAAACCGAAATCTTGCCCGTCCGCAGAGCGGGCACGGCACAGCCAGGCGCGGGACGACTTCCCCTTACCTGCCAGCCGCGAAGAAAACACTCTGGCGCCGTGGGGCGTTTGATCCTTGGCTTCTCCACAGAGACAGTCAAATCAGTACCGACTGTGGCAGGGCACAGAGGGAGGTTTTGTGGTGTGACATCTCCCCTTGGAAACCAGCCTGAAGAACACCAAAAATGAACCCCAAAGTGGCTCTCAGGTGCACATGTTCAGTTAACACTAACCTGGGCTGGATTAGAATACGTGACCTAGAAGTAAAACGCTTTGTTTAGCCCAACTCCCTGGGCCATCTGGTCCTCGCAAGTAAACATTTCTAAGTGAGATTAAGTGACTGTTCCTTAAGCATGGTGATACGAGTGCAAACCAGGCTGCTCTGGATCTAACAGATCAAACCTCGGCATCAGGGCAGCCGCCTGGTGCCGATTCAGAGACACCATTTGCTCCGGCAGCTTCGGGGGCAATTCTCCGTGGTGCCGGCTTTGCAGTCAGTCCTGATTCAGCCTGATGTGTCCCTGTCAGGTCCAGAGCTTGACCTAAATCCAGGGCTGGGATTGCACCAAGGTGCTGCTGGGAGGTTGACGGCCCCGTCAGCCTGGGAGAGGCTGCAGTCAGAACTACACTGCCTCTGCAGTGAGAACTAAGTTGCCTTTCTGAGCACTAAAAGCCCTCCTGAGCAAAATGCAATTGCAGGGTAGGAGATAGAGAAAACATCCAGCAGGTAGTAACACAATAGAGAACTAACTCCTCCTTCAGGGAGAGGCTTCGACATACCGCTGAGGGAGGGAACTGCTACTGTTTGGTCTATAAAAGCTAAATCGGGGAAGTATAATGTTAACCCAGCCTGTGCAGCAGTGCCAGGGAGAAAACAGCTACCTGCGCGTACCCTGCTCCCGTGCCCCCTCGGTGGTACCGCACCCCGGGCAGCAGGGAGTTACCTGGAGAACGTTGGCTCTGGCTCAGGAGGGGTGAGAGCACGTGGAAATCGTTTGGAGTTGGGCCTATCAATGCCAGAGTGTGAACACGGACCCTTGTTTCTTCTAAACACTTCAGTGTTTCACCAAAGTTTTCCCCAGTGCTTTTGTTTTCCTTTGGCACTTGATTCTGCTCCAGCCTGTTCTCCACCAGGAAGAGAGGATGTGGCAGATTTCTTTACCTGGGACACAAGAGCGTTACGTTGGCTGGTTTGGTCGTGATTTTTTTATCTCTGGTTCTGTCATTCACTCCCACCTGCCCACATTGGCATTTTGGTCCAGGTTATCCTGCTGGAGTGATTTAAGGGTGCCCCTGTAACTGCCTATTGGATTTCGCTGTAAAATTCAGATTAATTTACCATCTCCTGCTGCATTTGAGTCCACCCGCTAGGTTTTTTCTTTTCTTTTTTGTAGGCCCATGTAAAATAAAAAAGTAAAAGCACCCCATTTTGAGAGTTAGTCTGTAAGAAGACAACTAAGATGAACGAAAAGGAACAGACCAAAACCATTCCTGTAACCTTTGTGCCCACAGGCGCTCTGGGCTGTGCGCGATTTCCCTCTATTCAAGCATCACTCCCGCCAAC